CTGCTCCCCGGGCGTGCGGGCGCTGCCGCGGGGCCGGACGCCGACGTCGCTGCGGGTTCTCATCAGCTGTGGAGCCTCCTCCGCCGGCCTGGGGGCTGCAAAACACCCGTGGGACCCTGGGGACAGCGGGGACAGCCAGCCCTGCTTCTCCTCTGGAGCTCCAGCAGCGCTTGGAGGACACACTGGGACAAGGAGGAACTGCCCGAGGTTCTCCTCTGGAGCTCCAGGAGGTTTTGGAGAACACCCTGGGACAAGGAGGAACCGCCCAGGGTTCTCCTCTGGAGCTCCAGGAGGTTTTGAGCAACGCTCCCAGCACAGGGTGGGAGTTGGGTCAAAGATCCTTGTGGTCCCACTCAGGAGATTCCAGAATTTTCCTGCTGCAGAGCAGCCACTGGGAGTCCTCACTCGGATGCAGAAATCCTCACCCCAAACTTCTCACCCCTACAAACTTCCCAGGACAACTTTAAACCGGTTTATCCTCGCCCAGCTCCCGAGGAAGGTCGTTAATTCCCAATTAACCACCTAAATCTGGATCAAACCCCTTCTCCCGGGAACTCGAGCATCTTCCCTCTCTTTTCCATAATTTAACTTTGTTCTCCTTCCCCTTAATGAGAGCAGGAAAACGAGGGCAGATCTCTGCCTGAAAACTGGCCTGGATCCAGATTATTATAAACCAGCTTTTCATCCATTTTTAATGAAGCTCTCAGGCTCCAGCTCGGGGTGTTTTAATTCAAAGCATGTCTGGAGCAGGGAGAAATCTCCGGCAGGAGCTGCTCCAGCTGCACAAACGGTGCCTGAGCACCCCGAGGAGCTGTAATTTACTGGATTTTTTTGGGAAAATTTAATAAAAGTCCTTTTTTTTAATGTGCTGGCAGAGGATTGAGGCCATAAAGCTGAGGGGAGTTGTGGTGGGGTGATTTAATTAAGGGGGAAAAGCGTTGAGAGTGGGGAGAGCAGAAAGAAAAAGGGGAAAATTTGGAGGATCAGGGATGGGGGTTTGAGGACCAAATTTTTCCAGGGCTCAGCTCCTCTCGAAAGGGTGAGCTCATCCTTCTTTACCCCTCAAAAAAACACCCCAAGAACATCTGAAGGAGCAAAGTTCAAAGGGTTAACGGAGCTGTGGATGAGTTCTTCCCCCTTGGGCTGAGGAGGAACCGGGAGGGGACAAACCCTGGGGACAAAGCCAGCAGGTCACCGTGGTCACCACTCCCGTTCTTCTCCCCGAAACGCGGAGCCTCCAGGAAGAGGAAGCTCCAACATCCTCCTCCTCCTCCTCCTCCTTTTCCCTGCAATCCCACCGGGATCTCTGCTCCGTCCTCCGCTTCCTTTCCAAGCCCCACCACATCCCACCGCCGCCCCTCCAGCCCAGGAAAATCCCCTCGGGAATCAGGGAATCCTTGAGGTCTCCAAGACCTTTGAGATCATTGAGTTTTGGGAAAAATAAAACAATTCAAGGTGCTCTGGGAGCTTTTGGCTGAGCTGGAGCAGGATGGGAAACTGAGTCAGGAGTTAAGGACAATTCCCGAATTGAGCCGGGGCGCGGGGTGGCTGCTCCCCAGCGCGGTGGATCCGAGCCCGGCTCACCTGCGCCGTTCCCGGGGTTCTCCGTGCCGGGAGCGCTGTCTCCATCCGCCAGCGGGATGTCCGGCAGCGTGCTGGGCTTCAGCACGGACCTGGGGAGGACAGCGGGGTGGTGGGTGTTGTGGTCATGGTGTCCTGGTGTCCTGGCCATGGTGTCCTGTCTGTCCATGGTGTCCTGGTGTCCTGGCCATGGTGTCCTGGCCGTGGTGTCCTGGTCATGGTGTCCTGTCTGTCCCTGGTGTCCTGTCTGTCCATGGTGTCCTGTCTGTCCCTGATGTCCTGGTGTCCTGGTCATGGTGTCCTGTCTGTCCCTGCTGTCCTGTCTGTCCCTGCTGTCCTGTCTGTCCCTGGGCTGACGGGCTGGAGCTGGGGGTGGGTTTGGGGGCTGAATGGTTTTGGGACTGGGTGTGATTTTTGGGGGTTCCTGCTGTTTTTGGGGCTGGCTGTGTTTTTGGGGGTTCCTGCTGTTTTTAGGGGCAGGCTGTGTTTTTAGGGGTTCCTGTGTTTTTGGGGCTGGCTGTGTTTTTAGGGGTTCCTGCCATTTTTCAGGGCTGGCTGTGTTTTTGGGGCTGGCTGTGTTTTTGGGGGTTCCTGCCGTTTTTTGGGGCTCCCTGCGCCCCTCACTCACCCGTGGGCGCCCAGGTTGCAGCCCGAGTGCCAGGAGGAGGAGGAGGGCGGCGGGCGGATGCGTTGGTTGTCGTCCTGCATCTGCAGGCGGATGGGGCGGCGCAGCCCCCAGGAGATGTTCAGCAGCCCCTCCACGATCAGCTCCCCCTCCTCCTGCGGCGCAGACAGGGATCAGATCCCGCAGGAAATCAGGGAATCCCGATTGCAACTGGAATTCCCAATCAGGGAATGCGGGGATGGGGGATTGTGGGGGTCTCACCTCCCGGTGCCGCAGCTGCAGGTTCTGCCCCTCGTAGTAGATGTTGTAGGTCTTCAGGTGCAGGAGCAGCTCATTCCTGAGGGGATAAAAATGGGAAAAAAAAGGTTCTGAGATGGGGTTTGGGGTTTGGGGGAGATGCTGCAGTGACCCCCGAGCTGCCCTGGGGGAAAGCAGGAATTGTTTTCCTGGCTGAGGAACCCAAAAAATTGCTTTATTTAATTTTATTTATTTTATTTGGGTGTTTTGCCTCCTCTGGAGCTCCTTTCTGGAAGGTTTTTTTGCACCCATAATTAGGGGGAGAAGCTCCCCGTGACCACATTCCCCATAAATGTTCCAAAAGAAGCCCCATCAGAGCTCAGCTGGTCACGAGGATGAAAATCAAATCATTTTTCTGGGGGTCACACTGGAGTCACGAGGGATCACAGGAGAGGGGTCACAACAAAGCCCTGCTGATAAATCACTGATAAAAAATAAAAATAAAGATAAAAACAAGGACAAAAATCGAGATAAAAATCTGTTTTAAAACCTGAATGAGGTTCAGGATGCTCAGCTGATAAAAAACAGCCCAAACCACGAGGATTTGGGATTTAGGAGAGGAGGAAATATCAAATATTTGCTTTTTCTCCTTTGAAACCTCCCTTCAAACTTCGGAATGGTTTTAGTTCTTTCCCAAAGAATAGAATGATTATTCATCAGGGTTTTTTCAGCAAAGCCCAATTTTTATGGGATTTTTCAGAGGAAAAATTCAAAATCCCACCAAAAACTTTTTTGCTAAGGAAATTTCCCTTTCTTCACCCAGAACAACTTTTGCTTTCCAAAACTCCCCAAAATGAGATAAAACCCAGGGCTGCTCCCATCCTTCCAGCTCAGTGAAATATTTTGTGTTCTAGGTCATAAATAATGGGTTATAAATTTTATTTATATTGCTATAGGTTGTGTTTATAGTGGTGTATATTTTATTTATAAATATATTTATATATTATATAATTCTATATTTATAATAAAGAACTATATATATAGTTATATGTATAATATATATTATATATATTATAGTTATATATTCTATATAATATATAATATATTGTATATCCTATATTATATACAATATCATAGACATTGTATATTATATATTTTATATAGTTTTTATATTATATATACTTATCTCAAATATTGTGTTTTATAGTCATAGATATGTTATATACTGTATTTATAATGTTATATAGTGTATTTATAATGTTATACAATGTATTTATGATGTTATATAATGTGTTTATAATGTTATGTATTGTGTTTATAATGCTTTATATTGTTATATATTGTTATATACTGTGGTATATTGTAATATATAACATCCCCCCTGGAATATTCCACATTCCACATCCCCTGGAACATCCCCTGGAATATCCCACATTCCACATCTGGAACATCCCCTGGAATATCCCCTAGAACATCCCCCTGGAATATTCCACATTCCACATCCCCTGGAATATCCCCTGGAACATCCCCTGGAATATCCCACATTCCACATCTGGAATAACCCCTGGAATATCCCCTGGAATATCCCCCTGGAATATCCCCTAGAACATCCCCCTGGAATATTCCACATTCCACATCTGGAACATCCCCTGGAACATCCCCTGGAACATCCCCTGGAATAACCCCTGGAACATCCCACATTCCACATCTGGAACATCCCTTGGAACATCCCCTGGAATATCCCACATTCCACATCCCCTGGAACATCCCCTGGAACATCCCCTGGAATATCCCCTGGAATATCCCACATTCCACATCTGGAACATCCCCTGGAACATCGCCTGGAATATCCCACATTCCACATCTGGAACATCCCCTGGAACATCCCCTGGAACATCCCCTGGAACATCCCCCCGTGTGTCCCGGGCCTCATTCCCTGGGTTTTTACCTGGAGATGAATTTGTCCTTCCCGCAGGGCACCGCGTCCCCTCCGAGCTCCATCGCGGGCCGGGCATGGGAGCCGAGCTGCGGGAGGGGCACGGGACAGCCCCGGGGGGACCTCAGGAACCTCGGGGGAACCTTGGGAGAACCTCAGGAACCTCAGGAGAACTTCAGAAACCTCGGGGGAACCTTGGGGAACCTTGGGGGAACCTCGGGAGAACCTTGGGGGAACCTCGGGAGAACCTCAGCAACCTTGGGGGAACCTCAGGAGAACCTCAGCAACCTTGGGGGAACCTCAGAAACCTCGGGGGAACCTTGGGGGAACCTTGGGGGAACCTCAGGAGAACCTCAGAAACCTTGGGGGAACCTCAGAAACCTCGGGGGAACCTCGGGAGAACCTTGGGGGAACCTCAGGAGAACCTCAGCAACCTTGGGGGAACCTCAGGAGAACCTCAGGAGAACCTCGGGAGAACCTCGGGAGAACCTTGGGGGAACCTTGGGAGAACCTTGGGGGAACCTCAGGAGAACCTCAGAAACCTTGGGGGAACCTCAGAAACCTCGGGGGAACCTCGGGAGAACCTTGGGGGAACCTCAGAAGAACCTCAGCAACCTTGGGGGAACCTCAGGAGAACCTCAGAAACCTCGGGGGAACCTCAGAAACCTCGGGGGAACCTCGGGAGAACCTTGGGGGAACCTCGGGAGAACCTCAGGAGAACCTCGGGAGAACCTCAGGAGAACCTCGGGAGAACCTCAGGAACCTCAGGAAC